GCACCCGGCCGTCTCCGTTGAGCTGTCCCGTGTCCGAGCGCACTCCCCATGTCCTTGTCAGCATACCGGCCGACTCCAGCACCTCGTCTCCGGTTGGCTGTCCGTTGCCGGACGCCCAGCCTCCCGCGCCTGTCCTGATGGCTGTCCGTCCGAGCGCCAGCCCTCACCGTGTCTGGGTCGCATCTAGGCCCGGCGACTCAGCCTCGTCTCTGTCTGCTGTCCGTCCGACCGCCCAGCTTCCCCGGGTTCCTGTTGGCGAACCAAACCCCGAGGGAACCCCACGAGTCAACCGTGTCGTTGGAGGTCCCGCAGGACTGCTCTTCCTGCGAGGGTCTGGCAACGGCGAGTCCTGTGCGGGGGTTTGGGAGTCCCCGCAGACGGACTGACTGTTCTGCCGGGGGTCCCTCGCCAACCCCATGCTGCCTAGCCGTTGGAGGTCCCGCAGACTACTCTTCTGCCGGGGGTCCTGCCAAACTCCATGTCTGTGCTCCACGTGGAGGTCCCGCATGAACTACCTTGCCTGCCGGGCGGGTCGCTGCCAACTCCCATGTCCTGAAGCCGTTGGAGGTCCCGCCAGACTGCTCGTTCTGCCAGGTCCTGCCAAACTCCTGGTCTGGTCCCGTTGGAGGTCCGCCAGACGTACTCTTGTCTGCCGGGGTCCTGCCCAACGCCGATGTCCCTGCAGCGTTGGAGAGTCCCCGCAGACTGCTCTATCTGCCGGGGTCCTCGCAACCCCATGCCTGAGCCGTTGGAGGTCCCGCAGACTGCTCTTCTGCCGGGGGTCCTGCAACCCCATGGTCCTGAGTTGTTGGAGGAGTACCCGCAGACTACTCTTCTGCCCTGGGGTCCTGCCAAGCCCATGTCCTGTGCGTTGGAGGTCCCGCAACTACTCTTCTGCGGAGGGTCCGCCAACGTCCATGTCTTCGCGTACGTTGCCGCACGGTTCGCCAGACTACCTTTCTGGCGGCGGCTCCTCGCCAACTCTGGTGCCGCTTGGCGGTCGCAGACCACTTTTCTGACGGTGCACATGTCTTGTCACGTCTGGAGGTCCCGCAGACTGCTCTTCATGCGGGGGTCTTGCCAACTCCATGTCTCGTCCCCGTCTGGGACTCCCGCAGACGTACTCTTGCTCCGCAGGGGGTTCCTTGCCAAACACCCCCGATGCTCCTGAGTCCGTTGGAGGTCCGCAGACTGCTCTTTCTGCCGGGGGGTCCTGCCGTAACTGTGTCCTCTTTCACGTTGGAGGTCCGCAGACTGTACTCCGGGTGTGACCGGCCACCGGATCTTCTGTGTGTTGCATCCTGCTCGGACTCTCTTGCGGGCGGTCCTGCACGCATGATTTCCTGACTCTGCCGTTGCCGGGCTCGTCCGCCGAGATTCGTCTCCATGACCGGGGGTCCTTGCCGGTCTGTGTCCGCCTTCCATGGGGAGATCTTGCCTCACCGCTCCTGACCGCGCACGGAGCGGTCTGGTCATTCACTTCTCGAACTTGCTTGCCCCCGGGCCGTCCGCCCGAATTCCCCTTTT